TTCTCCTGCCAGTTTGACATTCTTCGATGATGAGTTTTATTCTCTCTGGGGCAACACTTTACATCTGATTATTGGTTAAAGCTCTGGAAACACAACCCAGATTGGTGCTTTTATTGTTCGCACACGCACTATGTAGTTAATAAAACAGCAGAAAAGAAGATTTCAAGTGCAGGAAAAAGCAACTGCATGTCTCATAAAGCTAACCCAAATGACGCAGATTTCAAAAAATGCATGCAATCGAGACAGAAAAGTGAGGGACAGAGGTCTAAATTGAGCAGCCCCCATCTTGTGTCTGTGTGTGAATGATCTATTAGAGCGTCTGGGTTGCTTTTGGCTTGTAATAACACCTCCTAATCTTTGTCCAAATATCTGCTTTGCACACACAGGGCTATTTGTCTACACACACACATTGCTTTCTTACCCGAGTCTGGAGTTGATCAATGATCTAACAGCACTCACTGCGGACTCACAATGTCTGTGTGTGTGTAACAGAGAGAGTATAGCTTCATTATCCAATCAAGAGCTTCTTGACTTTTACTTTAAGTAGTGGAACAAATCAACTCAGCTGGTTTAAAGGCTTTGGATAATCCCTTATTAGGCTGTTGAGACAACAAATGAGAGCTAGATTAGATTTATGAGATACAGATATACACTGGACCAGCATCAACATATGGTTTCAGAGTGGGTTTTGGACTTCAGAAAAGCTGGTTTGCATTGGAAAAGTTGCACTAAAGTACATTTACTCTTGTACTCTAAGTTGCAGAATTCTTACTTGTAACAGAGTATTCCTACACTCAAGTACAACATATGTGTACTCCTACCACCTCTGTCATACATGCAAACATGTTCATAAATCAGTTGTTTCAAATAAAAAAAACATACCGCTTCTCAAAGAAGACGTAATAACTTTGGTCATACAAAACAAGCGATTTGATGGCGTCACCATGCAGAAAATAAACAACATGTGTGTGTGTCTTACTTAGTGACACACACATCTTTCTGTGAGTCTCAGTACGCATATCACACACCTACACTATGGTATTTCTACCACACATGCAAACATGTTCATTCATCAATTACCAGTTGTTTAAAATAAGATAAAACTTCTCAAAATAACTTGATTTCCTCTCTGCCACTCCCCTCGCCTTAATCACCTCTCACTGTTTGATGGTGATCTGTTTAATTAAGCTCTCCAGCTCGCTGTCAGAACTTTCTCCCTCACATTCCTCCTCCTCCTCTGTGGTCCTGGCAGGATCAGGAGGAGAGAGGTATGCAGCCCCAGGGGAGGAGCCTGGATCGCGGCCACCTGCTGCTCCAGGTGTCCCTCTCTGGTTCTCCGATGTCTGACTGGACACAGAAACCTCCCGGGGGCACGAGCCTCCAATCTGTCAGCGCCCGAGGACTAATGCAGAGAAACGGCCCAATAATGTCCGACTCGAGGAAACCAGACAGCCTTATTTGGCTGAAAGTGATCTGAGGAACTATAAAGTGTAAACTACCCTCTTCCTTCGCCAGTGGTGTAAAGTGACCAAGTAGATTAACTCAAATTGGTTACTTAAGTAAAAAATGTGGCTACTTTGTACTTCTACTTGATGCCAATAAGTTTCTACATTTACTTGAGTAACATTTTGATTGCAGGACTTATACTTGTAACAGAGTATTCCTACACTCTGGTACTTCTACTTTTACTCAAGTAGAAGATCTGAGTACTTCTCCCACGTCTGTCCTTCGCACACACACTCTTTTCCTCTTCCTCTAATGCAGTAATCTCAAAACGACCGTGCAGGTGAGCACCACAATGACAAGCAAAACATTCCAGTGTGCAGAGATAATCCTGATTGGACAGGAGCTATCACTCACACACACACATCTGTGCAGAAAAGGCCCTCAGATAGTGCCTGCAGGCTGTTATGACTGCATGAGTGTACCCGCTGTCATAGAGATGAAAGCGTGCCCTCAGGAGGGATTTTTTTCGCCTTTGTCAATTAACGCCAATGTTACACCCTCTACAATAACAATGCTGATTTCCAGCCCCGCAGTCACATCTCGGGGAAGTTTGGCTCGCAGACGTGAGACCGGAGCGGCAGCAGCCGTCCTGATGGGACCGCTGGCTGTTTGCAATCTCAAAATACATCTTAAAAGTCCATCTAAAAGTCTTTGATCTACCTCCAGATGTTAAAACACAGCAGGCTGAAGAAGTCAAACAAGTGAAATCCTTCAACTTGTGTCTTGCACAGTTCAAAATATGGAGTGAATTTCATACTAAGATACGAAGGAGAAACTGTATTTCTATTGGCTGCACACCTAAATCCACACTTTCCTTTACACAACTCAGCTCCTATAGACTGCACGACAATCTATTCACCAGATCTGGTCAAATGCAGGAACACTGGCAGCTTTTTTCTCCACTACAGGTCTGTTTGGCAGGTTACCAAGATCAATCACATATAATTTAAAGCTTCATTGTAAAAGGTGCAGCTGGAAACTGTAAGAGAGAAAATGACTTCAGTTCTGACACAAATCAGGCTGTGTAACCAAAAGACAATAAAGCAGGTTTCCTGTCCTGACGCAGAGGTCTCTTTCGCCTAGAGGTATGAGCATTTTCAGCCCAAAAGCTTCAGAGGACAGACTATTATACACCTTAATGGACAAAAAAGGAAACTAGCAGTAGATATAAAACGCTCTTGCAGGACATCTGTTTTAAGCTTTCCTTGGAACTACTTCGCTCTCAAAGAAGAATAAATTAAATTGAACGTTTCTCTACTTCCAGGAAATAGACGCTTTGGCATGGGCCTGCAGCCTGAAAGAGTTTCATTCATCATAACGTCCTGAACTGTATATTATAATACTCCTATAGGGACCTGGAAATGTGTCTGTGGTATTCAATAATGGATTTGGTCTACTTTCATGTAATCTAGTGCTGAAACTAACAGCAACTAATGACAATGTCATCATCAATTTGTCTGATAATATCCCGATAATTTGGTCCAAAACACACAGATATTCAAAGTAAGATGAAAACAAATACAGAAAAGCTAGAAATCCTCACATTTCCGATGCTTGATGTTAGAAATATGCAAGAAGACATTTATTAATAGGCTGTCTTAGTACTTCGAAAACTATTTGGTTGTCGTTTCGGCACTAGAGATGCAACCTGAGAGATTTTCATTCAGTATCATATACTGAAAAAACATTATAAAACTCCTATAGAGATTTACAGTGCATCTGTGGTATTCATTACTGAACTGGATCTACTTTCTTTACTGTCTAACCCCCTAAAGTGTCGCTGTAGGAATTATTTTTACAACTTACAATACTGCCGAGCGTGGAAATATTACGTAAACGTTGCATGATTGATTATGAAGTCCCACAATGGTGTTTTTCCAGGTTCCACATCAGTAATCAAAGAGGGCAGACAGTGTGAGAAACGGGCATATAATCAGACTGGAATCAATTAGTCCCAACTTTGATCCACCCGCCTGCCAGAGATGATCAACAACAACAAGAGGCTCTTTTTTTATATACTGAGACCAATTAATTCCCTTATAAAACTGTGCGCCTAATTGGAGGAGGCCAGACCATTCGTTTCGACTTTTAATCCAAGTGACATTGATTCAGGGGGAACAATCAGAGCCTCTTGTCTGATGCCATGTCTGTCACTGGATCTCTGAGGTTCCTGCATGCAGGCTAAATGTAATCCAAATAACAAAACGACACCTGGGGTTGGAAACTTGAGCCCCTGCGGCTGTTCCTGCAGTCTCCCCCCCCCCCACCCTCCTCCATCCACTGCCTCACCCCCACGGTGAGTGACACCCCGGTCCAAACACTCATTAGCAGCCCCCGGGATTAAGGCAAACATTTTCTCATTAAATCAAACCTGAATGAGAGGATGATATCAGGAGAAACTCTGAATGACAGAAAGGCTGCATTCCTGTAAGTGCACCGAGCAGCTGTCAGTTTATTGGAGGCTTTAATGAGGTTATTCTCACACCAGACTTTGCTTTAGAACAGAGGAGGCTGTATTGAAATGCACGCAGGTAGTGTTGTGTATTTGCCAATGATACAATCTAATGCTATGTTAAAATAGCATAGTTATAATAAACTATTTTCTAATTTGAAGACGCAAATCTACATGATGCACTTTTGAAAACATCCTTCATATCTGCAGCTTTGCCCCTTGCACATATATACTCTGTTATTTATTGCACTATTTGTATTGTTTTTTATTGTTTAGTTGTTTATGTCTTATATTTATTTGTGTTGCATTGGTAGTGGAGCATGGGTCTTACGATTTGCATTGCCACAACTACACTTTAGCTACTGTGCATATGTCAATAATCTTGGATCTGATGGTCACTGGATGCCAGCCTGATGATAATATGGGGGTAAATCTGGCAGAGCTCACCATGTCTGTTTTCGGTTACCCTATGGGAGCGACTATAGGCTGCGGCCTGCAAAAAGCACAACACATTTCCACCAAAAAAAGCACTTATAGCTAAAACACAGCTATGAAACTCTGCAACGTGTCACACAAAGCTGATTCCTCTCCATCTTCATGTATCCTACTGCAAAAGTCCGGTTGAAAATTAGGTAAAACTTAACTAAAATCTGGACGTGGAGCTCAACCAATCAACAACAGGCTAAATCCGTAAGCAAAGTTTGCGTTTCTTATTATAAATAACTCTAAATCCGAAAGCCAAATCGCACACTTCCACTTAAATGACTAGATGTATGATACATAAAAGTTGGTGCAAAGTTTATGCGCGTCAAAAAGATGAAAAATAACAAAACAAATGCGGCTATCAAAGTAGTCCCCGGCATTAAGTTGTAGTAATCCAACACCTAAAACAGAATTATCTCTGTAACTGAAACGTGAGGAGTAAAAACTTCCGTCGAGTTGCAAACAAACTCCTACTTGTATCAATAACTTAGTAAAAACATGCTGATCCAAAGCGTAACAACGCAAAAACATATGGACCGCATGAAGGGATAAAACTTACCCAAACTTCAGGATTTGGTGCTCACACCTCGTTTAAAACCGACCGATCTTCTCTTCGTCTCCTCTGCGGTGAGTTTAAGTCCCAAAAAACAAAAGTTTTTACTTCTCTTTTCCCTCTAAAGCCTCGCTGCTTTGGTAATTTACTGCGATGCCACCGACATTTTTCTTCGGCTCCCCAAGTTCTCACATTGAAAGGCCGTTTTTGGATGACTGAGCTCTCAAACAATTCTCCCTTTTGCGACGCCTTTTCGGGTCCTCCCACTTCCCAAGCAGGAGGAGGGATCTGAACAATAGGAACTGGCTCCCAAAATCCCAGAGCCGGGCACTGCACCGCCTTTTCTGCTCCACACAGATCCTTACGCACAGCACATGAGGACTTTCCAGAGGTTGTGCGTAAAACTACAACCTGGATCACTAGTTTTACAACACATACATGTATCTTTCACCATAAAAACTCCTAGAAAGTTCATTTCTTAAAAACGACGGTGTCCTGGATGATACAAGTGCGCCCCCTCCCCCTCCTCCTGCTCTGTTCCCCCTGATTTGGTATGCGTTGGTCCCCACAGAGTTTGTATTGACCCCCGTCCATTGAAGCCTGCAGGCCCTCCAGTGCAGCTGTGCAGTGCTGTGTTGTTGTGAACTGGACGGGACCAGTCAGGACTGTGCAACACACACACACACACACACACACACACACACACACACACACACACACACACACACACACACACACACACACACACACACACACACACGTGCACACACACACACACACACACACACACACACACACACACACACACACACACACACACACACACACACACACACACACACACACACACACACACACACACACCAGTGATCACAGCTCGATCCCCCCTGTGTTCTCGCTCTGGAATTCTGTTCTCCACTTCAATCAGCACACTTTGAATCGAGGGGAGCCGTTCCTGTCCACTTCATTAATAACTGACTATTCTCAGATCACAGGGTTTGATAGGGGGGTCCGGTGGTGGGAAGTTTTCTGTCTCGCCCCCGTGAACGCAGGAACTCCCACCATGCTGTACCTGAGGGGTTGTTGCAACACAGCAGGGCTGCGTTCACTGACATGGCATTTTGTAACACCTGTTGCTCTTGTTCAGGGGAAAGTGTGTTTGTGTGGCCTTTTTCAATAAACAAAACATGATATTATGTGCATCATTTTGCACGTCACACCCAGCAGGACGTTCCAGTGTCAAGAGGTTTTCCAGGAGTCATCGACTGAGGGTGTTTCTTCCAGTGTTGTGCTGCAGTTTGCCAGCACTTTGCAGCCTCTGCCAATGTTTTGGTGGTGTTGCTACCGAGCTGTTTGAATGTGGCTCCCTCACCCTGTCCTGCACTGAGTAGAGAGAGGGAGAAAAAATGGGGGACTCCCAACCCCAAAAAACCCCTCCATGGTGCCCCTCCCCCCTCTCCATCTCTCCATGCAGGGCTGGATGAATTAGCTCGGGACAAAAGGCTTTGTGGGCCGGCCATGAAAGGCCTATTAACCATACTGCATCCCCCAGAGGCCCTGCCCGCAGGACACCGCCTCCCAGAATGCCGCTCTCTCAGCAGGCCGCAATCCCAGCATGCACTGCTTCCCTTTAGCGCTCACCCTTGTCACCCTGGAGCCTCGCCATAGAGCCCCACACAGATTGTCATGTAGATGATTGTAAATGTTGTTATGAAAGTAGTGGAGAGCGGGCAGCGTTTGTGTGGATGTGAGTTGTGAGTTTCACCAACAAAGAATAGAGTGGGTTTAGGTGTTGGCTGTCAGGTGTGAACTCGTCCAGTGTGTCTCATAATTTAACGGTGTGTTCATCATCAGTGTGTGTGTGAGGTGATTTTTTCCTGCTGCCTCATCGACCTCGTCTCTCCATTGTTTAGCCGGGACGCCATGACAACGACCCTCTCTCTCCTTCCCTCTCTGTTTCCTGCTGACCTTAGCAGCTGTGTCACTTCCTCACTGTGACAAAACCAGATTGAATCAAACACACTCTTGTGCTTTGGAGTACTACATCAGCTGAGCACACTTTCACTCTCACATTCATAAGAGCAAGACAGAAGAGGATTCATGTGCTATCCCTCCCTCTTTTCCACTTGTTTAATTATGGATCCTTTTGGGTAGGAAGAATATCAGAGTAAAGGCATCCCTCCTGTCCATATTGTCCGTAAAGTGATCCCTTCCTACGGTAGTTATTTTTCCGGCAGCACAGGCAGTATGAGAAAAATAAAGAGCTTTTTGAACACATGTCACAGGAGAGACACTACATACTGATATGAACCTGAAAAAAAATAGGAAGCAATCTCACAATACCAGAAATATGAGACGATATCTAGACTCATACCACAATAACAATACAATATCAGTATATTGCCTACTGTATTTTAAGTTTTTGTCCCTTATCGTTAACAGTTTAGGGGTCATCACTTCTTAGCAAGTTAAGGCTATAATGTGTTAAGATAACAACTGAAAACAATTGAAGCCTAATCTATATAGTGGATTTTTTGTGTAAACAACAACAACCTTAAGCTCTGTGTGAGCTTCAGGGTACATCAACACTGCCTGCAGCACCGTGCTGCACAAACACCCTCAGTCATGGTTCAAATCTTTACAGAAACCCAGACATTCAAACAACAGGTGTTTCTACACCGACACACTGAAGGCCTTCCTGTTCCGACACATAATACCATTACAGTATCTGAATACAGGATTAAATGAAGCGTGAGAGGAGGTAGATTCAACAGCGCAGTGGCAGGACTTCCTGATATTTTCTAAGCAGATACAAAGCAACCAAAAAAACGTCCAATGAGGGTTTCAAAGTCAGCTGTTTTTCCCACAACTTCTCCTAACGTCCTTTCCAGCACTCCTAAATAATAATAAAAAGGACCCACAGAGCAGCTCATGGGAAAAGGTCTGCATATGGAGAAGTGAATGGTTGTTTTATGACCTCTGAACTGCAGCTTCATGCACATCATCAATCTCAAATCCAGTGGAAGGAAAGCTCTTTGGACATGTGGTAGTGTCCAACGTGAGGGCTGTGGATGATCCAGGATTTAACCCGGATATTGCTGCTTTAGATGTTGCCGCCGGTGATATTCTAAAATGAACCCTCTGCTACGAAGACTTGATTTCTTTTCAGAGGGTTGGATGGGGAAATGTAGCTACTCTCATGTCTGTATGGTAAATAGGAACAACTTAGCATAACGAATTGAATAATGTGTTGAATAATGAGCTTCAGGTGTGGTATTATGGATCGATTTGACTGATTGTATTCAGATGTGCAAGATATTCAACATACAAGCTTAATTATAGTAAAGAAAATAAATATATACTTAAGGCTTAATTGCTATTGTTGTGAAACCTATGACTAGTAATCCCTCATTTTGCCCCTCAAATGTTTTTCTTATAACTTTTTGTGTGCCCTCCCAAGTCAAATAAAGCATCATCATGTCAAAAATAACAAGTAGCTACTGCGTTTGTACTGGAAATGTTCAATTAGATCCTTAATAACAAACCAAAGATTCTTTAAAAAAGGTAGTAATACCTCTAATAATACATCGCTTTTATGAGCTCTTTGTTTTGCATACAGCTTGGAAGTGTGCAAAGTGTTCATGTTGGTAACTACAGCCATCAGATAAGCATAATCAATTATATAATTAAGTACCCGCACATTACAGCAATAAACATAATTTACTATTTCTTAACTTGTCTCAGTTTTTTATAGATACACGCTGATAGTTCTGCCTTGGGCCTCACATCAAAACGCACAATCAAAATTGTCAGTACAAGTCATGAAGAGGAGATTTATGGCGTCAGATGCTCACACACACACACACACACACACACACACACACACACACCACACACACACACACACACACACACACACACACACACACACACACACACACACACACACACACACACACACCACACACACACACACACACACACACACGGAGAGAGAAAGCATCTTGAACTTTTACTGTGCTGCCTCGGGAGCTTTTCATATCCGGAGATGTTATTGTCCTTTATCATTCTCACTGATGTAAAGCTCGCTCTCCGTGTGCGTGTTGGAGGGATATGGAGGGTAATTGGCTGTTATTGGTTCTCATTCCAGTCTATTGAGCTGTTGAGACAGGGATCCAGACTCAGGTGGGGTCGGACCTCAGGCTGAGTTGTGTGTGTCATGGTGAGGAATGTGCTGTGTGACGGCTCTGATTAGATGTTGTTTTTCTGCCGCGTATCTCCACTGAGACTCCGGGAAGCAATTTGCTGCAAGTGTTTTTTATTGTACATGCAGCCGTGATGGCATCTGTTTGCTGAGCTCAGTTTGATTTATTTTATTTGCTATGTTTACTTGTTTGTTCCAGAGATTTTGCAACTTGATGACTATGCAGTGCTGCGTCGTCGTCACATAGCTTGAAGCTGACATTTTCCATTTCTGTTTGGATCCGGTTCCATTTGCTGTTGTTTCCAGAGTGCAAAAGGCTTCTGGACCAATACTCAGTCCCGTATATGAGCAATTTCCATTGGTCTTCTTAGCTGCCTCGCTTCTTCTTTTATAAATCTGGTGCAGAAGTGTGCGTCAAAGTCTGGTATTCATTTAAACCCTCCTTAATAAAAAATGCTCTCTCCGATGAGTTCTTTAGACATAAAAGAGGGAATCAGTTCTTTCCTATGTAAGCGTTGAAACATGTATATTAAAGAGGGCCTATTCTGCTAATGTTCAGGTTCATATCAGTATGTAGTGTCTCTACTTTAAAGAGTCCTCTCCTGCTGATGTTCAGGTGTATATCAGTATGTAGTGTCTCTACTTTAAAGAGTCCTCTCCTGCTGATGTTCAGGTGTATATCAGTATGTAGTGTCCTCTACTTTAAAGAGTTCTCTCCTGCTGATGTTCAGGTGTATATCAGTATGTAGTGTCTCTACTTTAAAGAGTCCTCTCCTGCTGATGTTCAGGTGTATATCAGTATGTAGTGTCTCTACTTTAAAGAGTCCTCTCCTGCTGATGTTCAGGTGTATATCAGTATGTAGTGTCTCTACTTTAAAGAGTCCTCTCCTGCTGATGTTCAGGTGTATATCAGTATGTAGTGTCTCTACTTTAAAGAGTCCTCTCCTGCTGATGTTCAGGTGTATATCAGTATGTAGTGTCTCTACTTTAAAGAGTCCTCTCCTGCTGATGTTCAGGTGTATATCAGTATGTAGTGTCTCTACTTTAAAGAGTCCTCTCCTGCTGATGTTCAGGT